TAGTTAATTATGCCCCCCTAACAGTTTCATACTCGTTATCTGTGAAATAACGGGGATCTGAACGTTCAGATTATATGACCTATAGCGCTTGTAGCTAGAAAGGAGTGTTGTTCCTGGGTCTGATGTTTAATTACTTTTATTTCCCCTTTTATTCCATGCAAAAGCTGAGAATGATTTATAAGTAAAATAGACGTTAGATCCAAAGGGGTGAAGGGTTCTTGCTAACTAAATTATACTAGCAGTGGAGTAGAACTTTGCAAATCCCATTTCAACCTTTCCCCCTCACCCACCCACAGAGAAGATTATATTTTACGAATTATGTTCATATAGGAGCATATGGGTAGAGCTGTTTGTTCGTGTTCTGAAGCCTATGTGGGAGGTCTGCTGTGGAGCACAAATTATAAAACATATATGGAAAGCTAGAGGGCCAGGAAAATGAAGGTGCTTGAAGTGCAGTTTATTTATGAGTGAGATACACTATGGCTTGTGTATGTGAAGGAGGTTGTGTTTTGTCTACTGGTAGCAGGGCCCTGATGGTTTGCTGCTATTCTGCCCTTGTTGGTGCAATATGCTTTGCTATGATTCCAGGAACAATTAAGCCTTTTCATTAAATTACTATTTCCTTTTGGAATGTCTTTCCTTTTCTAAAGAATGACCAGACCGATACTACACTAACAAGCAGGAAAAGCTTCCAAATGTTATAGCCTATTTATAAACTTGTAGGGTCTGAACCCTAGATGACTTTGATGGGTCAGATATCAGAAATTCCATTAAAGGAGAACTCCAGGCAAGCTGCTAAATACACAGTTGAAACACATATATGAAAAATACCTTACATGCCAAAGGATTTGTTCTGTCTACCCAGTTCTGAGATTTATCCTGCCCTGTTGGACATCATAGACCTGATTTTTCTCTGCAGCAGTTAGACAATGCAGCTAGATCACTTCTCTGTCCCCAGGCTGTGTCTGGGCAGTAAAGGGGCAGCAGCAGACTGATGGTGTGGTCCTTCTGCTCTCTCCTCCTGTAAGCAAATACCTTTTCTGCAGATGTAAAAACAGGACACCTGATTGGCTCAGGATGTTGACCCTACCTCTCCTAACCTGAATGCTGCTGTACAATGAGGCAGAAACTATTTAAATCCAGGTATTTATACTAACTACTTAAAAAAACCATTTTATATAAATTAATAACTGCATTCATTTGTGTTTTGAATATCTGCCTGGAGTTAAACTTCAACACCTATATGGAGATCATAGAGAAGCCATTGGTTTTCTGGCCAGGAAGTGTTATTATAGAAATGGTGCTGTTTTCTTAGATGGTCCACACTTCAATTAAAAAGCAACCGCAACTGTAGAAAGACTGCACCAGTCAGGACCATCTATTTAAGCAAACCCCCTGTCGTCTGTTTATAAAGTCGGGGCAATATAGGCAATAAATGCAGATTCTTCTTAAGAAGACAAGGTAACACTTACAAGAGTCCTAGGACAGAGCCCAGTCAGGCAGTGTAGGCACAGGAGACAAGAGATTCTAGGAGTTCTGTTACTATGGAAACGCTGGAAGTGAAATAAATCTCCATACCAAGCATGATACAACCTGCATTGAGTATCACTAGAATGTTACAGTTGTTAGTTGTGCTATGTGAACCTGAACACTGCCACCCTCACCAGCACATCATCATCATCCCTACTTTCTGGAGGGATGCAGCGCAGTGTCAACTCCCCCACGTGACTTTGCTTCATTTCTGCTTTGATGTTGCAAACATCCTGTCGTTTACCCAGCATTTAATTAGCTTAATAAAGTGTTTATTTTATCCATATTTATTTATTTATTTATGTCATGCAAGAACTTTCTTGTGATATGCTAAGCTTCGTAGAGGAAAAAAAATTAGCATTGTAAAATATGTGGGCTTTTTTTTTTTTTTTCCTCTGCACTATAATCTTTAACACTGCGAATTAAAGCTCTATGATGCATAAAACAAGCTCTTTTGCATAAACATTCATATGATTTAAGTGGTAGTGCTTTGGGAGCCTTCATCTGAGTCAGGGTGGAGTTTAATAGGCAATTTTTTTTTTTGCTAGGCGATTGATGATAGATGAAGCTCGGAAGTCCTTAGTAGAGACACACACTTTTTGCCTGATGCTTATCAATGTCAATTGCAAGCTGCCATATTGCTCCGTCTCATAGGGAAGTTGAGCATTACTTCTGGCTTTTGACAAGGCTCTGGGTATTTTTAGAACCTTTGCCCTCGTTCTGTCTTCCATACCATTGGTAATAGAGAATGGTACCAGAGTAAGCGCTCTGTTTATATTCTCAGTAGATATGATATGCTTTTCTGTATATATTTCTGCGTATTTGGGGTCGGTGATCACACTGACCTTCCAATACCGGTATCGCTTCACTCTCAGCTTTTCATTATTTGCAGAGGTTAATACATCCCTGCAGCAGGGTCATGTCAAGCCCAGCATTAATGTATACATGTGATATTCTAGTCAAAGCTGAGGCGGGGGCTCTTTAAAAAAAAAATGTACTATTTCATGTAGAAATAATAACTACAGATATTCCTGTGATCAATGGAAATAATTATAGCTAGGCGTGCACTTGGCATTCACATCTTCCAATCCCAGTGATTAAAAGTGAACTTCTATTTAATATTTGTGTCTGCTCATCTTTGTGCATGCTCTCCGGAGATGATTTCTGGAATAAGGAGATCAGACTGTAATATACAGTAATATCTAATTTGGAAATAACCTGTGAACATTATTAGACACACACCCGCTATAAAGAAAAGCAGATTGTATATAGGTACCTGAACAGAATATTTTATTAGCGACTATATTATATAGCCATATATTATAAGATCACTGCTATTAGGTAAAAAGTATTTGTAATAAGGAATTTAGAGTGATTTGTAGAAAGCATTCAGCGAGCCTTCTAGTTGTGATTAGTAAAGTAAATCAAGTAGCAAAAGCCTGTCTGTTACAATCCCCAGGACTCCCTAGTGTCACCTTGGCAAGTGACCTTGCCACATGGACTTGAGACCAGACACTGGACCTGGCTAACACTCAATCCTAGCACAAATTGACTGAATGGAACAGATCAATGCCTACAATGACACTTGAGTCGCCTATTCCCAGTCCTACTTGTACCTTACCTTGTTCAGCCGAGCAAAGCAACACTACAAGGGGAAACATTGTTTGTAAGTGCAGATCTTGCGGTCACATATCATTCATTGAATCCATCATGTCCTTTGAAATATGGATAAAGCAGGATGTGAAGCTATTCCCCCAGCCAGGCCCCTGATCACATTAGACACTATCCTAGCAATCCATCAGTACACGGTAAACTTAATGCTGTTTAGAGTTAATGTTCGCTGTAATTATTTTTGCCTTGTAAATATGTTAATACGCTTTAATATTGACGATAAACTGACATTTACAGTAGACATTCATTTATAATCTATATTACCACCGCATAATTTAATATAGCATGGAACAGATACGTCTCTTGATATTTGGCGGAGGGCTAGTTTCTTAGGAGATTACCGAGCGGATCAGGAATTTAAAAAAATGGTGACTGATCTGATCGCGTTAAATTAATTAGGACCAATATAGATTTAGATTGTAGCATGATGAGAAGGCAGGCTACATAGAACAGCAGTTTGTTGTCCTGCAATTCATCCTTTAGAAAAAAAAAAAGTGGCTATTAAAATCAAGGAGTGAGGCCCTGGCATTCCTATAACTTGATGTGAGCCTCTTTTCCATTATTTGCCTAATTGAACACGTTCTCCAAGTATATTGTAAGGAGCACTGCAATTAGACATTTCCCCTGGAAAGGAAACAATTGCATCTAGTGCATGTGCGAGCATCTCATTGACAGCGATCTCACGCAGGCTTTGGGTGGAATTAATTATGTAATGTGATTAAATAATGAGGGCGAGGATGAAATCATGGAAATATTGCTCGCTATGAAATGACACCTAACACTGCAGACACTTGGAGGGGATCATGTACATATTCTGTTTTTTTTTTTTTAACTCAACCTTCATTTTATAATAATCAAGTGTATTTCCACACTCAATTTGGGGACAAAATAAGCGTATTTTGATTTATTAGTAGAGTCCCAGGAGCTGATTTATTGAAGCAGTTGAGAATATTCACACACTAAACTGAATATTTACATCAATTATCCAATCGTGTGTGGACGAAATGAGTAAGCGGGAATTTGTTTTTTTTTTCTTCACATGATTGGGAAATTGACGTGAATCTTCATACGATTTATGAGCTCCTTTGGTAAATCAGCCTCATCGTTTATACTTTCACGGTTCCCATAATAAGGTTTTCTACTAAAATAGTTTTAAAAAAAAGTATTCTACCAACTAACACACTGCAAAGATATCCCAAAAACGTAAACGAAATTGATATTAGTTCTGGTTGAAATGTCTATTCAAAGCATGTATTATTTTAATGAGGCACAATGGTAATAGCATACATCCCAAGTTCATGATGAGTATACTCAAATATTTTATGCTGAGCCTTTGAATAAAACAGATTTGCTTTCTGAGGTGTTCAGGATACAGTTCCAAGACACCATGAAAAACAGAAGCAACTGGAGCAAAGTCTGCAAATCCCACAATTAATCATCCCTTCCAGTGGTTATTTACTAACAAACAAATGGCACAAGGCGATCCCGATTATCTTCAGTTGGTTTTACTCACAGTGCTCCTTGACAATGAAAAATAGTCATTTCTTACACTTGCTGTGTATATTTGTTTTGTGCAATGTACATTTAGGCAGAGCAGCTACCTTGCTTTAGCCCTGTTTCCATATTTGCCTTTTTATAGGAATATTTTTTTTTTTTGTTGTGTGTTGCTTGTTAATCCATGTATAAATAGTGTGATCTCAAATTGAAAGGCATAAATAACAGCAGGAGTGATCTAACCCTATGCAGTTCATCCTCGTCGTGAAAAAAAGGAAAAAAAAAAAAAAAGGAGAAAAAGATCTCCTACTGAAAACCGAGTGGATCTCTGTGGGTAGGTGCTACAAGATCACAGGGCAGCCATGGAAGAACTTACAGCATTTGTATCTAAATCGTTTGACCAAAAAAGCAAGGAGGGCAGCGGCAGTGGCAGCAGCAAGAAGGAGACCATCACCTACAGGGAAGTTTTGGAGACGGGCTTGGCTCGGGCCAGGGAGCTGGGAAACTCTGACAGCAACCTCCAGGACATTACAGAGAATAGCAACCACTGCCCGCTCCATCTTTACAAAGAGCACACAGACATTGACAAGGACAAGCTCAAAGACTACAACGCTAGCAGGATCTCTGAAGGTAAGTATATGAAAAGCTCTACTGCATGGAGACAAGGCTTGCCTGCCTGCCTGCTTGCTTGTGTTGGATCAGTGCTGCTGTGCTCTGGGAGAGGTCAGCAAAAGTTCCAGCCATATACATACACTGAACAGTGAGGGGGGCTCTCTCTGTACAGCCAAGATCCAGCTTCTAACAATTGTATCATGCATGCTTGTCCTTCTCTGTTCTATCTCTACTATACGAGCGTTATTTTCTTCCTGTCTGCTCATGAATTCCATACGACCATTCAGTTTTAAAGAACATCTGTTTTTGAGTAATGCGTGTTGTATGTTAGGCTATTGTCCTTTTTTTTTTTACTACTATTTGAAATATTCAGGAATTGTTTTTTTCTTTTGTGTGTGTATGTTTATAGAAAGGAGGCTTATTGTGCCCAGTGCTGGTATTCTTTTGTTGCAGCACAGATCGTGGTAATATGTAAGGAAGGAAAATGTCATGTATTCTAGGCTGCGCTGTGTGATAAAGTTTGCAGAAGTTGCTATATGATTGCTCGGAAGTGGTTTCCCAATGGGGCCCAGCGACACTCATTCTGCACTCACTCACATCAAACAAGTGACGTTGTTCCCCTATCTCTCAATCAAAGCCATCAAGTGGCCGGACACAAGGGCGAGATTGGTTAAATAGTTTCTGACCCGGGCAAACAGGTGTCCTTTCTTTCAAACTGCTATCATAGCTATTCCATTGGAAAAAAAAGAAAAAAAAAACATATTGCAAACAGCCTGCAAACATGTGGCTCAACTGAGGGAAGGGGGGTTGAAGCCCAAAACGTTTTCATCTGGTGTGACTCAAGGTGAAACTAAATTACAAACAAGACAAGTGAGAGAGCAGGATAAGGAGGACAAGAGTACATTTTTCTGTTCTACAAATTAAAATTGTAAGCTGGCAAACAATAATATTATTATATACATTGCTGGGCATGCTATCTGATTGTAAGAAAGCTCTCTGTGCATGCTTTAATAAACTATTATTCTACATCACGTACAGGCTTAAAATGAATCAAACAAGTGTTTATTTTCCTGCCAACAACAAGCACACGACATAAATAAATATCCTGTTACCGAATATATAATTACAACATACAAAACTGCAGATCCCTTCAAAATGCAATATTTAGTCCTCGGTCATGTGTCAACACGTGGGCAATATAGACTTCTAAGTGCATGGGCTCTTCTAACAATTATTAAAAGTCATTATTGTGCCTTAGTCAGCGGTGGGCTTCTAGCGCTGGCATGTATGCCTCTCAGCCCAACTGCAAATGTAATAAAAGTTTAAGTGTACCACAAGAACAAAAGGATTATAAGATGATTAAAACTGCGTACAAGTACTCTATAAACACGTGGAAACAATTACACGCCCATTTTCTTTACAACCTTTGCAAAGTTCATTTTATATAATGGATTACACCAAACTCGCGAGCGAGAGAAGTTTATGCAGGAGGTTCCAATAAAGAGCAATTTATAATTGACACTG